AGTTTTTTAGCTTAAAGGGTTCAATCTCATAATATCAATTCTCCCTGGCGTATCTTGTTTTGTTGTATCCTTCCTTCCCAGCATTTATTAATTGCGTTATTTTTCGTTAATAATTAAAAATTATTCAGTTTTTCCTTAGTAACCCCCGTAACTAAGAAAAAATCGGAATCACTGCTCCAATGCATTTTTTACGAAATGCCCAGGCGGGATATTGATACATTTGATTAAGGAGGCGGTGATTCTTAATTATTATTACAGGGTGTAACGAAAAGATGAGGACAAAGAGTAATCTGAGATTCTCCAGGTCAAAATAAAGCGATTTAACCCAACTTATCTCTATGCAAAATTGCACCGTTTAAAAGTTAAAATATGTCAATGAAATTATGTTTTTTTTGTTTAAATTAATAATAATTTCATTATTATTAACTAATACAAACATATATAAAGAAATTAAAACTTAATTTTTTTTAAACAAATTTAAAAACAATAATAATAAAAGGCCAATGTCCAAAATTTTAACACCTCAAATTATTTTCTTACTGTAAAACTAAGACCGATACAAACATTTTCTAAGATACAAAAATTGTTAAAAAATAACGTTCCTTTCGAACAAAAGAAAAATTACACTACTCGAATTACGTATAACAAAAATATGGCTTAAAATGTGTTAACCTCTAACTTTTTTAAACGGTGCAACTTGATATAGAGGTAAATTGGGTTAAATCGCTTTATTGGGAAATCTCAGATTACTCTTTGTCTCGATCTATATACTTATGTACCGAATATCTTAATGAGTTGGTAATAGTTTATTACAACCGAGTTAGGAAATATGTTATTACCACGAGAGCTCAGCTTATATTATCGAGAGGCACAGCGTCGAGGTTAGATAGAGCGCGAGGTTGGGCACCGAGGTTTGTATGCTGTTTTATTCGAAAACACATTTTGTGTAAATTACACTATCTGTAATAAAATCTTTGTTTTTCTATGACTCTAACACCTTTGTGAACAACTTTTTAATATTGTTTGATATTCTTTATTCGATATTTGATAGGTATTAAAATGACTACATACAAGGTTAAAAAGTAATTTCAGATTACATTATTCAATGTTGCCAACCTAATTTCAAAGTCACAGGCCACTTTGATCACAAATTTAATTGAACGCATAGGATATGGTACTAAGGATTTCATACTGAGTTGCTATATTCAAGGTAGAATAAGTTGTAAATAAAACAGAAATGAAAAAATTAATACATCGTAGAATGTGGCCCTTGTTTGTTGTGGTTGCATCCTTCAAGTTCTATCAACATTAGCCATTAGTCATGTTTCCGTGTTTTATTACGTGGATGTGGGTGGAAATTTTCAACAGTTTACTTGAATTGATTATTTTAGTAATTAAAAGTGAACATTGTTTAGCATATAAGCCAGCAATCAAGTTGTTAACCAACTTACTGCTCAAGCTACATACATAATTGTCTATGAATATTTCTTGCATACTAAATCGGCAGAGTTCCTGGTCCTAGTTGTATTAAACTTTGACGACTTGGGAAGTAGCTTGACATCCAGTTTGGCCATAATTATTTATTGATCATAATTCAGATGAGGAAAATAATGTTGTTTTAGTTTTAATGCGACAAATGTGTTAATTCGAGTTAGTCAACAAGTTCAGTTCACTGTTCAGTGAAGTTGGTAATCGCCACAATAGGTGAAATTTATATTTTTAGTGTGAAGTCAATTTTTCAGGCTGGATGCAATTTTGGCCGTTTCAAAAGAATGTCACGCTTCGTAACATTCTTATTTGGGATGAACTTCAATTAAGCCATTCGATGCTATAATTGAATTCTTACTCAAAAGTGACATTCAATCGGTTTAGTCCAATCTTTGTACTCTCCGTTGACATCGTGCCCAATTTTTATTTTTAGTGCACATTAATTATTTTTAGTCGTTATTCTATCAATTCTTATACATATCTTTTTTGATATACATGTCTAAAATACGTCTATTTTTGTTTGAATTCTATGGTTTTGACTTACCAAATTATTTTATGAGGGACTTAATGAGAGTGGTTGTAAAGCTATTGTTGTCAAAGCGACCATCCGGCCGTTGAAGCAACCTCGTAAGAAATAAACCTTTACAATTAACAGTTGGGATTTCTCAATTGCTAAAGGCCCAAAAAGTTAGTTGCCTCTATTGCACCATAAAATTCAAGCAAATATAGACAGACTTTACAAGTTAAACGACTCTATTAGCAAGTCCTCGATTATTTTTACTCCAAATAAATAGTTACTCTAATTTATTTACAAGACTTCATTTAATATTTTAGTTAGTTACAGGCATTTGTGAATCGATGCCAAGAAATTTAGTTCTAGATTATTTTTATTGCAAGTTTTTATAAATTTTGCAGAGTAGGTATCTTAAATAGATTTATGAAATGTGATCGTATAAGATTGTAAATTTTATTGTCTATCCATAATTTCAATTTAAATATCAAGCTTTAAGTAAATTATGACAAGTCTAAAATAAGTTTAGTGTGAATTTGAAGTGAAGGATATTATCGTATAATAAATCCACACCACGGCTAGAACAAGGGTTGTTATCGCCTTAAGCTCGCATTTTCCTCAACCTAACAATAAAATAACACACATACACACAGTTTAACATTGTTGTTATAACACTGAGTTACTGAGATAACAATAATTAAATAAAAATTGTTGTGTTTGCTGTCAGATCGATTCACGATGTACGGATTCGTTCGGAGGATTCATAACGAAGAGTTATTTAATGTTATTTTAATTAATTCGAGTATACCTATAATATAATACAAATTATTTATTGTGAGTTAAAGGGTACTATTTTTATTATCGTTATTATTATACCTATGACAGGTCTTTAAATAAATATGCACATGAATGTCCTGCAAATTTCATAGACCATATCCACATTATGTAAGTTAATAAGTTCAGTTAATGAACTGGCAAATCATTGAAGATAATGTTACCAATATTAGCTATTAGCTTGATTTAAAAAGACAAAAGATATGTTTAACGCAAGGTAAACTTTGTGAAATAATATGTTATGTCTACCGAAATTTACATTCTAATTTTGGCATAGTTTATCTTATTCATATTTATCTAAAAAAATTGGGGACGGTTTACAAATTGGTTTAATACTAAATTAAATTTTAATTCGCTTTCTGTAAAATGACTCTTGATTCAATAATTTAATTTTTTTTTATTTCTACTGGTAGAAAAAATGTGGGTTATGCCGTGTGTTACTGAAGTAACCTCTACTACAGAGCAGGGCCGTACCCAAGGGAGGGGGGATTAGGGGTTTCAAACCTCTACCGAAATGCTGAGCATTTTGTTATATAGTGTTATAAGTATTATTATTGTTTAACCTTTTTTTTAATTTTTTTAGTGAGTTAATTTTTAATTTTTGTGAATTAATTTTTCATGTGTTAATTATACAGAATGTTCCATTTTTATTGCTAGGTACACATCTAAATAGATGATAGAATATTTAATTTTAATACAAAAGTTTCCTATAAACATGTTTTGAAAAATGCTACGTAAGTCCCCTAAAAAGGGTGCGTTTTTTAAAGGGTTTTTCCTAATATTTTAGAATAGATAAAATTACAAAATTTGGTACATCTGATAACGTAAACGAATTCCAAGACAAAATGGCAAAATTTGAAATCAGGGGCGTCCTAAATCATAAAACAAATTTAATTTTTAAATTTTATGCTGTTTATGGTCTGTAACATAAATTTTTAAACCGATTTTACTAAAAATCGGTAAATTGTATCGGAGAAACGCAAAAAACCTTTTTTTTTATGAAAAACTATGAAATATAAAATCTTGTTGTTGAAAGTGGCAAGAAACCACAGGCAAAATAGTTAGAGTACTTTTTACCCTAAACCCACCCAGTTTATTAATCCCCTAAATAAAAATTTCAACATTTTATCTTTATACTGGTTTAGGTGTATAAAGGCTATCATATGTACCAAATTTTGATATTTTTCCGCCTTCCTTCATTCCATTTTCATGGACCAANCCCTCTACCGAAATAAAATTCTGGTTACGGCCCTGCTACAAAGTGTCTCTGAATTAATGTTATTAATATTATGTAACTTTATTAATAAACAGAACGTAATGGTATTTTGTAGTTGTATGTTTAGAAGGTTACAAGTTTTAGGGATGAACAAGAACAAAAACACAATGTTTTCTTTTGGTAGAAAAACACGTAAAGCAAGTAAACAAATATTTTGATAAAAAAGTTAATTAATTTATTACTAAAATTAATTAATTAAAAAATTAAATGCTTCTTTTATGGCTTGCTATTTGTAATTAATATTTTATGCATAAACAATGAAAAAAATCAGCTGCTTTTTCTAAAAATGTAAAAGTACTTATTTATTCAGAACGTCGAAACGTTATAAAACAATGGTTTACTTCTTCTTCTATAGGAGACTTCAAAACACGTTTTAGTTGAATAAAACAAAGTGTTTCTTAACTAAGGAAAAACAACACAGTGTAATTATACGATTTTATTTCTGGTTGAAAAGAAATTAATTATGATCTTTTCTAATTTTACAGATAGAATTGGTTATGCAATTTTTTTTGTCTTGATCTTTTAGTTAACATTGAACCTGAATCTTTAAAGCCATTGTGCTTTTGCTAAGTTTGTTTAGAAGTTATAGTAGATATGGTCGAAGTTCAAATGCCTTTTGTATAGGACTGCACCAAAATACATGTACGATTAAAGTAGTAAGAAGAACTTCCAGTTCCCAACTGGTTGATTATTGCTTGCAAAATGTATATACATTTTAATGGTATTTACATATTGCGGGTAGTGTATTTACAAACAATAAGAAACTCATTCGTTTTTAAGCTATACCTGTGGGATAATTTGTGTTTTAAATCAAACAAAAAAGAAAGAATTATATACAATGAGTCATATGCAACTTAAATATTTCATGAGCCTGCGTTTTTTAAAACTTACTTTTCCAAATCATCATCCGAAATCAATGCTTGCCTCAGTCTGGCAATTGTCTGGAGGAGATATTCGGGATTTTGTCCTTCCATTGATAAGGGCGAATAGTATCCAGGGTAACTGTAAAAAATATTTTTGTTATATTAAGTTATTAAGTTGTAAAATAAAGCAACAAAACTGTCTCAAATATATTAATTATCCTTAATATTTATAACGGTTGTAAAATTTGATAAGTTTAACAACTTAATCTTAGTAGATTTTTGCGAAAGGGAATTTAACAAGCAATCATGTGGTCGACCAGTGAAAGTCGGATATTTTGAAATATTGCTCATTTTAATCCCTTGTTTATAAATACTTTCAGTTGATAATAAATGAACGATTAGTATACAACATTAGACGAAAATACGAAAGATGAGTAATTTTTTTGAACGAAAATATAGAAGCAATTCAAAACTCGAAATCAAAAAGAAATTGCAAACAAAGTTATTTTTGAAAATCGGTATGATTTTTATAGTAGTTTATTATTCTCAATTAGTTTTTCTAAGTAATTAGTATTTACGTATATAAAATTTCAAAAATATTAACATCTTTTAGTGTTGCAATTTATGTGTAAGGTAGAAAAACAGCGAGTCACTTCGGTCTATTTCTGTTATCATGTTTATTTAAAACATTGTCAGTTACTACTGCAAAAGTCCATTAAACTGGGAAAAAATTGCAAATACCAATTAAATTGTTAGTAACATGAATTTTTTTCATTTTAAAATGTGATATTTTTCAAAGCTATAAAGTAAAAAAAATCTTCTTCACCATTAGAATTGAAATCATTTATTTAAAGGAAAGTTTTGTATGTGAAATTAATGTCAGCAAAATTTGTTGGGTTTTACGTATTATCTATAATTTTCTAGAGTTGTAAATCAATTAGAATGTTTTTTAAATATCTCAACAAATAGTCGACAATGACTTGGCAAGATAATGACGGAAGTATTGCTTGTAACTAATTTATCAATGGTGCAATAAAGATAAAACGTATCAGTATGTCTTCAAGATTATCCTAAATGCAGTTTTATCATTCCATTTTAGCAGAAAATTTTAGAGAAAATTGGAAATTTAATTTTTCATTAGACCAATTTAAAAAGTTGTCATACAATTCACTTAGGGCGTTAATTCGATTCGATTACAAGTTGAGTGGGAACTCGAACGACAGGTAAATCATTTAGATAAACTGGTGAATTATTATTGTGTTCGAAAATTGACAAAAAGCCTTTTATTTGATGAAATTACAAAGTTTCGGTTAAACACCACTACCTGGATGAATGAGGGGCTGCATAAGTCGTAGTCGCTTGAAACAAAATCATTCCTGCTGCGAGGAGCATCAAGAGTGAGATTCCATTGCTGTAAACCATTGATGGCTTCATCTTCCTGAAATTGAAAAAAAAACAATATTTATTTGTTTTTTATTTATTTTAAAGAAGAAGGATTTTATCAGTTAGAGACGTCAAATTTTTGTACTTTATGTACGCTCTTTTTGCTCTACTATGACATGTGTGACGAATGAAGAAAACACAGGAACGGCTTTGTCCCGTAACCATCACGGCTCAAACTCTTGTTTGTCTGCTAAACAACGAAGTTTGCCTCCAAATGGTGAACTTCGGTGAATTGTTTGTTTCACACCAAGCTTCACACATCGTATTTAGTGAGACCATGAAATATTGATGCAAATATAATAGAGCTGGATTTTGGCATTTATTAAATAGTAGGCGCTTTATTTCTTAAGCAGGCCAAGGATGTAAAGTTGACCACAACCACAAAAATAAATCGCGAAACCGATGATGTAAATTTGAATAGATAAATAAATAACCCTACATAGATACATAAATCTTTACAAGATAATAGATTTAGTTTTTTCTTTGTATTAAACTTTAGATGATTACTTAAGAGTAGAAATAGAATTAATGAAATTAATTCTAATTAATTAAACCGTGTTATGAACAACTTAAGGTTCAATATTTTGTCAAAGTATTAAATGAAAGTGTTGGAGTTTGACCACCTGTGGCTACTAATTTTCGCCAAACACAAAAAATTGCTTAATTTACCCTCCGCCACTTCTTCTCCCTTTATTAAACTTCTTGAGATTGCGTCACTTTTATTTTAATTATCATAAACGATTTGAATTGTGTAGCAATTTTTTATTTTTTCAAGTGTAAAAGGATATTGTAATTAAATGAAGCAAGTTTTTGCAGGACGAATGCATCACGTCTACCTATCCTTCGGGAAGAAAGTTTATTACACACGTTCGAGTTTCCAAGTTGGAAAGAAGTCCGATAAACGCGTAGGCTGCATCTTCTAAGAGTTTGTATGCATTTTCGAATTGAGTAGGCTATTAAATGTAGGTATGTGGTCAAAATGAAATTGATTTTCGCCTCGTTACGCATGGATTTATAATGAAAGAAAATCGATAGTAATGAGTTCAGGTTAACGAATAGTAGCAGAACGAACCTAGAATTGGTAATTTTAAATTATTCTATGTGAAACATTAATTGCGATAAAGTTGCAGTTTTGTACAACTGCATAGCTTTGTTCTGTAAATTTAATTATGGAAACATTATGGAAGAGTTGCAACTCTGAAGTACATAACACATGTTCGGATAACTGTTGAGAAGAATTCATTTGTATACTCAGCAATTACCACACAGGAAATGCACGTTGATTAGACATTAATTTAATGACGGTTGTTATCAATTTATTCACAAACGAACCATTCAAGATTAAACTTGATTGATGTTCAAATCTGTTTTTGCTCCAATTACATACAGGACTTCTATGAATATCGCATAACCTGAATAACTTATAATTATATTAGAGTAATTTTTGTTTAAAACATGTGGGTCTTGCAGAATTATTTATAAGTGCAATCTAAAGACTTACAAGCTTAATTGATAAGATTATCGATAAAAATACGAGTAGTTAATGTAGAGTAAGAGTCATGTCTACGTTTGCACTTAAAAATCAATAATGTTTAGAACTTTGGGAACATCACGATGACAAATAATATATTAAATAAAGTAAATAGTTTCCCGTAGATTGTGTTATTAGGGGTAAAACAACACTTAAATATTATATTAAAACACAAGTGTTACAAACTCTCTCATTGTCATTCAAGTAATTTGTGACACTAGTGACACAGTGGCGATACAGCTAGTTTATGTGCCGAAGCTGAACGTTTATTTTGCCGAACGCAGTGAGGCAAATAATTCAGCTGAGCCACATAAACTCACTTTTAGTCCAAATAACATACCTACTCGTATACTATTTAATCCGCAAACGCATTTGGTTCGAGGGTAAAGAAAGACACTATAATTAGCAGGTAAATGAATCATAACAAATGACATGCATCAGCATCGAAATTGTTGTTAAGATTTTCGAAAGTGTTAAGTAATTTAACAAGTGGATGACTAGTGCAAAATGTCGAATGCTGATGATCTACAATGTACGTAAACATCTCCAGAAATTGCTGAAGCAGCGAAAGGGACAACATTGATAAATGGTATGGTAAAAGTAAAAACGCTTAAGCGAAAAAGCAGTTTTTTTTACTTTATGCCTGAAAGAGAAAACTTTTATTTGTGTCATTAATAGCCATAAAATAGTCACTTTTGTGACGTTTGCGGATAAATAAAAACTATTATCTTCTTTGTAAACTAAATTCAATTTTAATAAGAAAACATAGTAAAAGTATTGAAAAATGCTTACAAAATTCTTAACAATCAAATAATTTTAGTTTAATTTTGTGAATGCTTATATTAAACAGCAATAAGAAGAAGTTTTAATTAATTTGCAAGGTTTGAAGAAAAAATAGTAGGTACTCCTACTTGGTTTGTAGTTGCCGGACTCTTTTAGGCTTGACAATCAAACCCTACAGGCATACAGACCCGCCACAAAAAAGACGCTTTTACTTGTAATAAAACAATATATGTACGTACTATTATGTGGCAAAGCTAAGGCACATAAAGTTCCTTTTATCCCGAGTAACATATACTATTTTATCAGCAAATGTATTCCGATAAAATAAAAACGAACGGCTGAAAAATCTGCAAAGAAGTGATTCCTATTATACAAATATGCATTTCTAAAACTTTTGCTGAACAAGTGACTGATGAAGTTATACCAACTACAAAACGTGTATAGTTAATTTAATTAAATGTCAAAAATGTAATGTGTTTAGATAGCAACTAGGTCAGTGCAAAAACTTTGTTAGAATAACAAATATTTTATTTAAACAAAATGTGGTTGTGAACAAAATAGCATTAAAGCTTCAGTGGGAATTTCGTTACATCCACAAGCTCCATCAGGTAACTTGAGTCCTCAGGGTAATGAAATATTCGCTTTTAAAATACCAGCTTTTAATCATTTTTAAATCTCAGTCTACAAATACACTTCAACCGGAAAAACAAAATTTTGCAATTTTTCACATTGCAATGTTTTTGTTATTCTTTGTCGTATTTCGACGAATTCTTGTTCGGCTTAAAGAACGAACTTTGCACAACATTGCAATTTAATTCAATAACATTTTTAGTTTTATCTTGTAAATGTTATACCTAAAAGCCGAGAGCACTGTTTTTTTTCCTCTTTTTATACTGAGCTGAAGTGTGCAAAATTAAGTTTTTACTTATTTCAGATTATTGCCCGTTCTTTTCTGAATGAGGATCAATTTGTTTCAAAATTTTATCTTATATCTCTCATGTTTCAAGAATTAAAATTATGGAAAATGTGGTAGGTACATAATTCAGGAAAGAATGGGCAATAATCTGAAATCAGTAAAAACTTAAGTTTGTCTCTGTCGCACACCACAGCTCAGTATTAAAATAAGTAAAAAAACAGTGCCTTCGTCTTTTGAGTATCACATTTAGAAGACAAAACTAGAAATGTTAGTGAATTAAATTACAATGATCTACAAAGTTTTTTTCTTTAAGCCAAACAAAAATTCGTTGAAATCCGACAAAGAATAACAAAAATATTACAATGTGAAAAATCGCAAAATTTTAGTTAATTTTGGCGGCCTGTGTAGTATAATATACCGAGTGTCTCAGGCAGGCATAATGAACCAGGTGTCGCAGGTAGGCTTGGATATAGGATATTAACATGGGAAAATAGTTTTTATTTTTTTCCGGCTGCAGGAGTTTGTAGTGCTCGAAATGGGCAATCTTATCGACATTTTTGTCGATTGTCTAATTAACTCCATTTGCAATTTCGAAAAATCGAAATTTGAATTTTCCGTGTTAGCGTTACTAAGAGACAAACTATCAAGGCTTAACAAGGGCTTTTATTAATTTGACAAATTCTCTTTTGGAAACAAAGACTTGATCTTTTCTTAGTAACACCAACCCGGCAAATTCAGATTTCGATTTTTCGAAGGCCGTTTTCGCCCAAATGGAGTTAATTGCAGAATCGAGAAAAATGTCGATAAGATAGCCCTTTTCGAGCAATACAAGCTCCTTCAATCAGATTTTGATTTCTGTTACTCCTGCAGAAAAATTACTCCGGAAAAAAATTAAAAAATATTTCTCATGTTAATTTCCTATTTCAAGCCTGCCTGGGACACCCGGTATTAAAAAAAAAACAAGTATTATACTCTCATCGTGATACAAGTATTTTACAATTCATGAGCGTCACAATGAGAGGTTGTAACAAGTGTTTTTTATACTTACTGTTTTTTAATTTTGAGGGCTTTTTGAATTTATTATTTTATTTGACAGTTAATAACTGCCTACTTAAAAACGACAGCATGTATTCAGTGATGGCAAAAGTATTGCATAAAATGTTGTCAACAATTAGTGTTACAAAGTGGTACTTTGTAATATACAGGGGTAATTCTTAAATAGACCGTCAAAATTTTATCCTTGGTAGTATCAAATGAGAACATGCTGAAAAAAATATTTAAAAAATTCTTTGTTTAAACGTTCTCCAAATAAAATTTATTAAAGTTATTTTCGAAGTAAGGCGTACGCCACTGATGTGTTAGCACAGGTAGTGGAAACCATGGTATTAACGTGATGAAAATGTACTTGATCATTGCAACAATTCATAAACGCCGTAAGTGGCACGGATCAAGGGGGTTTTGCCCCTAAAAGGTATAAACGTGAAAAGGGTACAGTTTGTCTCCATTTATCCTTAGGAAGCTGTGATAAAATTTTGTCGGTCTATTTAAGAATCACACTGTAAATAGATAAATTTAGTGTAAAATAGAAAAATAGTTTTTTAAACTTAGACAAAGACATAATAATAATATTGTTTAATTTTAATAATAATAATAATAATAATAATAATAATNAATAATAATAATAATAATAATAATAATAATAATAATAATAATAATAATAATAATAATAATAATAATAATAATAATAATAATAATAACAATAATA